AGGCCTTGTCTGGAGATGAAAGCTGTCTTTTCTTTGTCTTCTTCATCTACCTCAATTTGCCAGTAACCTGAGCTAAGGTCCATACATGAAAACCATTTAGCTCCAGACAGTTGATCTAAAGTATCGTCTATCCTCGGTAAAGGGTATGCGTCTTTTATTGTCACATCATTTAGCTTTCTATAATCTATGCAAAAACTTTGCTTCCGTCACGTTTTTGCACCATCACAATGCCACTTGCCCAAGGACTAGAGAGGATTCTTCTGATATGCCTTTATCAAACATATCATTGATTCGTTGATCAATTTCTACATTCATATGAACAGGTGCTCTACGAAGTCTTTGTTTTATAGGATGAGCATCGCCTATAGGTATTTTATATTTAATTATTCCAGTTCGACCTATATCAGTATCATTCTCTGAGAAAATTGTTGAATATTTTAAAAGCAGTCGAGCAACATCATCACTTTGTTTAGGCGACATGCCAGTAACTGTTCTATGATACAGATCTAGTAAATAAGATGGAATACTATTTACTGAACATGTCTTTGACTCAACTTTATTGACATTGGTAACAGGACAAATGTTTGCTATATTTGTACCTGCATAAAGTACCTGTGAATCATCTGAAACATTCATTATTCTTACCGGAATGTTTTCTTGTGCATATAACAAAGCTTTGGCTACAATATCTTTTTCACTTTTGCGAGTATGAGAGGGTTCAACCATGAATAATTGCTTAGAGTTATGTGTGATATCAATGTCATTGACTTTCCCTGATATTACTACTTCAGATCTTGCTGGTATTACAGTATTTTGTGCCACAACGACGCGATAACAGCCAATGTTTCCGGTACAATTTAATTCACATGTCAACCCTTGTATTGTCATGATATTATCATGCAACGTTGTTTGAAAGCCCGCGTTGGGCTTTCTTTAGGGATTCTGTATTTATCTATTTCATAAAATCTAAGCAAAGGAAAGCATCCCCATCTTCTATATTTGCTACAATTACGTCCATACAACATTTAATGCTGTTTACTTCTATGGAAACTCTTGTCTTTCCTTTGACATCCAATTCTTTGCCAGATGCAGAAAGAATACTGCCATAATAATGTTCCAGTTTGTTTTTCATATGCATACGTTCCCAAATATTGACAGAAAGTGTGGATAAGGTAGCCCCAGTATCGATAAGACAATTTGCTGGTGTACCATTAATGAGTGCTTTTATGAAGAGACCTGACTTGTTTATTTGAGATGTTAACATTATGATTGTTTTTGCTGTAGATCTTGGTTCTAAAATTTTGTTTCAGACACTCGTATTTCAAATGTTTCTCGGATCCACATTCATAACAACACTTTTACTATTATCTGGATTATTTGTTGATCTACTTTTATATGAATCTCCGCGCTGTCCCCCAGGTTTCGGTGAAATACGTTGCCGGTTGAAATTAGAACAACCATGCTGCTTTTTATAGTTTTGATATTCATGATTTGGCTTTCCTTGTTTAAATTTCTTTAGTAACATTGCTAATATTCTACGCTTATCTTCAACACATTTCTTAAGTTCAGCAAGTTCGCTATTGTCGGATTTATTTGTTGACATAAGATACCCTTGGTCATCTTGGTGCTTTCTTTCAGCTCGATTGAACGCCTATAATTCAACAGCATGACGAACAGCGTCATTTAAATTTGAAGGTCGAGCTTGCTTTATTCTAAGACGCATATCTGAACTAAAAAGTGAATCAACAAATTGTTCTTTGGCAAAAGTTTCTCTTACGTCATTGGGTGCCGTTGGGTATGCAAGATTAGTCAATCTCTGTATGTCTTGGGCAAGCTCAGATAATGTTTCAGTTGCCTTTTGCCTTCGCTCTCTAAGCTGAACTCTGTAAAGCTCAGTTTGATTCGGCGGGGAGAACCTTTCTACTAAAGCAGTGACTAAGTCATCATAGTTATGTGATGCTTTCGATAGATTTCCATATACACCTTGTGCCTGGCCCCTTAATGAAACTGCAAGATAAAGACCTTTATCAGCGTAGCTCCATTCATTTATCTTGGCACAGGTTTCAAAATGAGCATGATAATCGGCCCATGAACTTGAACCATCGTATGTTGCTGGTGTAACTAAATTCTTATGATGTGTTTTCACCTTACTGCTATCAGTTATTTCTTGCATCTTTTTCTTGTTTCGTCTTGTAATAAACCTTTCTGGATCGAGAATATTACCATCCTCATCTAATGAATATTGTCTACTTGCCATATCATTTTGATCTTTCAACACTGAAGAACAATCAGGTGTCCTTGGCAATAACCTACGTCTAACAGGTGGATCGTCATATATCTATATATTTTTTATGGTTACCTTACCATTGATTGATTGGACAAAGTAATGATTACTGATTATATGGTGAACAAACTATATAATAAGGAACTATATAATAAAAACACTTGATGAAAATTACACAATATTTACAGCTTATAGTCCTCCAACATCAATATAGAAGCTAGGCTTCTATATCGATTGGTGATCGTTCACCTCACCAAAATAATGTAAACAACAATATTCGACGTTCAGCAGCTAGAGCAATTATATCCTACTTTTGTATTCCCAAAGAATCCGAGCTTTTAAGGAATTTACTTATAGGACTTCGATGCCCACGGTTTATCTTCCTGGATAGCTTGAAGTCTTACATTCGCTTTCCAGTCCGAAAAGTGATTTCAAATGCATCTTCTCCTGCTTATATATGGATAAAAGAAACGCCATCTACTGGATTACTTCCCCTTATTCTAAATAATCTCCTTCCCAAAGTACAAGATAATCTCTAAACCTAATGATATATTGAAATTAAACTTACCTTTTTAAATTTAGCTAATCGACTCTTTCCGACTGATATAACATAGTTATAAACAAATATGACGTTAAAAACATTTAACTACACATAACTTACCAATATAAGTAATAATTGATGTCCAAAAAGGTAGATGCAAATGGCGCTTTGAATTAAAGAGACGTCACTCTTGTATTACTATACAAACGCATTCGTACATAAACAAATTCGTCACACAAGAACATCCATCGTACACTTAACAGCGTCTGTTTGGAGTTTCTTCAAACAAGGAGAATTTTATTGGATTTTACCATAACTTAAGCATTTCATAACCTTTTTGTCTCAAGATATCCCCTGAGATCAAACGAACTTCTTTTTTTCTATGAATAGTCGATGTAGACCTACATATATCATTGATTGTTACCATAAATATTATTGTAACCGAGCTGAAATATTGAGTGTGTATGGGGATATGCCATGGACAAGTTCTTGTCGAGATTGTGATATTCTTTTTTGTGATAAATGAGATAAGTGCCTTGTATCATATTTTGAAGTTTACTGTAACTAGAATAAAGTTTTATCTTTGAGAACGGAGTTATCTTTCATTCTTTAAGCTGTTTCAAAACCGATTTTTAAGTTCTAAGAACTAAGTTCTAATGTCTAAGTTCTAATTAGTAAGTTCTAATAACTTAGTTCTAATGTCTAAGTTCTAATAACTAAGTTGTTATCACTAAGATATATTGTCTAAGTTCTAAGTTCTAAGTTCTAAGTTCTAAGAACAAAGTTCTAATGTCTAAGTTCTTATATCTTAATTCTAAAATAGTTGGACCACGTTTAGGACATTTTGTAGGTCCTTCACTGCCACGGGTCCCCTTTGAACCATATTTCTATCGATCTTAACAAGGTCTCCTCTTGGTTATACTTTGATTTTGTATGCACTGCATTGTTATACTTGTTAGCCCGTGCATTTAAACACACGTTGTAATAAGTCTGAAAGACAGGTGCAAGTGCAGATGTATCAGTTGATAAGTTCTTCTGATGCTGACACTTCTTTGATCAAAAGGCCGACACACACGAAAGAAACAATTAAAAAACGTAATACATATTAACAAAAAAATACTTTTGCAATCTGTAATTTGCCTTATTACTGATATTCAAAGGAACATGCAACTACATCTACATCTACAATAATGGCATGAAGTTTTTATAATTTATAATTTTTGCACACATTACATCTAGTATTATAGCTAGTTATGCAACAATAGACCCTTCTTAATATTACCTCATACATATTCATATATTTCTCAGAACGAGGCTAACAGGGCAAGCTTCGGTATCTGCTCTATGTAAACATATCACCAATATGTGGCCGAAAGATTTTTCTACGGAACTTAAATTGACATTATCTGCGTTATCAGTATTTTATTGCTAACCTAAACACATGTTGGTCAAGAGTGTATAAAGCAATTAACTGATAATAGATGTAAACAGTTGGATGCTGAATTCTGTACCATACTTCCCCTATATTTAGCTATTGAAATAAAAAAGTTTTAAAAAGTTTTATTCACTTTGTATTTAAAAGTAAAAAATTCTGGATGACTCTCTAGAAACTGGTTAATTTTACAGACAGCCTTATCAAATCAAAATAATCTTTTGTTTAAACATGACACCCCCGTCTTATACATTTCAATGGATTTTCAGTATCATAACACATATGTTGTTTCAGCAATATAAAAATACATTTCATGCTAAGTAAGGAACGTAAAACTTTTATATTATCAACTATTTAATTAATTACAGTATAAAATACTTAGTATATAACGAAATACAATCATTTGAATTCAAATATCAGTCAAATCTTAAGACGAAGCTGCATGTGCAATACCTTGCAGTTGGAGGGTATTAGGAAAGGCAGCATCGAGTTTTTAGCACTTCTTTTAACATTCCAAGACATATATATATATATATATATATATTATATATATATATATATTCTCTCAACAATATAATGCAATAAGAATGTAATAAATATGTTGACATATTCCCTGCACCATATATGTAACAAAGCACAATGTTAAAAACAAAGTAATGCGATGATTTCTTTTTAATTTTTTATTTAAATTCAAGGCGCAAAAGACTGAACAAATGGTCCTTTAAAATATGCTAAAAAGTCAAGCTGATTGTTTTGCTTGCTCTTAATGTTTTGCTGATGTTTTATAACATTGAAAACTGTAATGAATATATTGTAAATTTTGTTGGAAATCCTGTATAACATTACAAAAAACACAACTGTCAACATTTGAAAATTTGTTTGTATCAAACGTTCAATATCACTGTTTGTTTTCTTCCTTAGTTTTCTGTAATTCTTTTTTGAGCTGTTTAATAGTTTCTTTTTCATCTGTTATGTCATTGACATGAAGAGATATTACAATCAAAGGCGATTCAAATTCCAGTTGTCAATTTGTGTTCATGACTGTTACCAGTGGAATTCCTGAAAAATATATACCTTTTATTTAGAAGTGGAAACAAGAATTATGACATTTCTAGAATATATCAATTTATATTTCAATTGCACATATATTTTTTTACAGGGTCTGAACTTTGTTTATGTGTAAAAAAATTAAGTCTTGTGTATACCTTTCATCTGGTAATGAAATCTTCTTCTTTAGTGTTCATCATACTGGTCTGTTCATTATTACTCCAGTCGAACCATCTACAGGGTACATCTATTATCTTCAGACATATATGAATTTATGTCCATGATTGTTAATCTTATTGTTTGAAAAGCTTCAAAACGAGCAACTATTGCAAAATATTGATCTGAAATAGTACATAAAATAACCGTTATTGCTTTTTAGTATAAAAACGGTATTGATTTAGATTCTGAAGCAATTATGTTTTAAATGTTATCATTATAAGTGTGATATTTTAAATGAAATTTATGAACAAAACATAGAAGTATGTTTATAATTTAATGAAACATTTAAAACAATGAGAAATCAGAGTAATTAATGTAAGTAGTAATACATCTTAAGAAGCTTGGTTTAAAAAGAAAAGAACAATGGTATTTTACCTTGAAATGTTCTTTCATCCATCTTATTTTCACAATCCTTTCCTTTATTAAACTCACATCCTTAGGTATTTTATGAAAATTAACTGTATAATCATATCTACAATTGGAATAACAGAGTGGAATATAAATGAGATTTCCCCAGTAAGTTTAACACACTAGGGCTTATCAGGTCAGACATTATTTGTTTACATTCATGCCCTGTTAGCCTCTCTCTGGTGATGGAATGTAAAGTATGCATATAATTTGAGAAAGGCCTATTGCTTGCTAAGCCATCATTCGGTACCCAGCCAATGTGACGACCATATACTTCGTTTGTAAAATTATATTGTGCCTATTCAGTAATGCGATTCCTTTTGAATATACTGGTACCAAGAGCAGGTCACATCATCAATCATGTGTGTAGAAATATGCTCCTTTGTCACCATACGAAATTGTAGCAAACGGCAATTTTTTCTCAATATTAGATAAGACAAATCCTTGTCTTTTAATATACTTATATATCATGGTAAATCAAAACTAAAACGCAGTATAAAACCGTTGGTAATTTCATCAAATATTAATGAAAGAGTGCACTTCGTTAAAATTAAGGCAAATGTTATCTTTTCTTTAAGTGGCCAATGTGATCTTGACCTGGTACAAGTACAAACACGGAAGGATTAACCGCTGATGCAAAGTGCACATACATGTTATTTTAAATGTAGAATAAACACACTCTTTGATCGGACCATTTATTAAAGCTTTGACTATACCAGACGTTCCCCATAAACAGTTATCTTAAAACAGTTCAATAGTTTTTCAACAAGATTCATGGCATTATTTAGCACAAAGGATATCATTAGGACACACAGGTTGAAAGGTCTGAAAACACATAAATTTTATGTTAGAAATTCAATATAAATATAATGAACAAAATAGTTTATATAATAATTAATAAATAATATAATTTATAATTAATAATTATGAATGCCAACACGAAACCCAATTGCATGTTCATTGTAAAATAGATAAATACAGAATCCATAAAGAAAGCCCAACACGACAAAATTGAAAATGTTGCAGGCTCGGTTTGATTGAGCCTGTTCATGTACTGGAAAGTGCAAGTTACCGTCCACGCCCCCTAGCACCGGCTTAAGCAGAATTCAACATTTAAACATGAAATAGTAAAATTTTGAATTTAGAAATATCCACAGATGTGTTCATACGGCGGTAATCATGGAACCTTCAATTTGACACTTCCGCGCCATTCCATGAAAAGCGGCGTATGGTCCCCAAGTAATAAAAAGCGTGTGCCCTAAACGAGAAAACAATGAGCGGAACTAATTAAAATGGAATTTTGAAAGGGGATCAGAGGTTATGAAGCCTGCATATCACAGATAAGACGTCAAAAGACAAATTTAAAAGGCAGACAACATATCCTAAGGGTTATTCAACATTATTCAAGTAGAAATATTGGAACCACCCAACTAGAAAATGCCGAAAAGTTGAAACTAAAAATACCACAAGCACAACAATAATGTCGTGCTGAACGATCTTCAAGGATCGAAAATATAACATCATTGATTAAATGTACGGGGAGACTTTTTACAGCCGCCACACGGCACAAATAACACAGATGTGACCATAAAATAGATAAATACAGAATCCCTAAAGAAAGCCCAACACGACAAAATTGAAAATGTTGCAGGCTCGGTTTGATTGAGCCTGTTCATGGACGGTACTGGAAAGTGCAAGTTACCGTCCACGCCCCCTAGCATCGGCTTAAGCAAAATTCAACATTTAAACATAAAATAGTAAAATTTTGAATTTTAAAACATCCGCAGGTGTATTCATACGGCGGTTATCATGGAACCTTCAATGTGACACTTCCGTGCCATTCCATGAAAAGCGGCGTATGGTCCACAAGTAATAAAAAGCGTGTGCCCTAAACTAGAAAACAATGGGCGGAACTAATTAAAATGGAATTTTGAAAGGGGATCAGAGGTTATGAAGCCTGCATATCACAGATAAGATGTCAAAAGACAAATTTAAAAAGCATACAACATATCCTAAGGGTGATTCAACATTATTCAAGTAGGAATATTGGAACCACCCAACTAGAAAATGCCGAAAAGTTAAAACTAAAAATACCACAAGCACAACAAACATGTCGTGCTGAACGATCTTCAAGGATCGAAAATATAACATCATTGATTAAATGTACGGGGAGACTTTTTACAGCCGCCGCACGGCACAAATAACACGGATGTGACCATAAAATAGATAAATACAGAATCCCTAAAGAAAGCCCAACACGACAAAATTGAAAATGTTGCAGGCTCGGTTTGATTGAGCCTGTTCATGGACGGTACTGGAAAGTGCAAGTTACACGTCCCGTAGTCCACGATCATCTGTAAAATTCAAGGTTCAACCAACCGTTACAGTTCATTCTAGGTTTTCAAAACCTTTCTGTTATTTGACCACAACACTCGAACAAGTTGCTCGGTTTCAATGAAGCCCTTTAAGATGTTCCATTAAAGTTCTTGTTTATCTTTAATGTCTTTTTGTCAACACGATGACCACAATATGACCCACCATAGATTCGGGAGGTTCCAGGTACAAAATACTTACATCAGGTATTCCGCAAAGGTATTTCAAAATTATTTTTGGTTTAACTTATCATGTAGAGTTCTGCTTGGATCAAATCCATAAAACAGTATCTAAGACATTCTATGTGTACGCGATTTGTTACGCCCCTCTGCGAATGACAGCTAAATATGTGATTACAACTTGTTACTGGTGTAATAACAAACAGCCAAAATTCCAAACATCCATGCTAATTTAGAGTCCATTTTTATAATTCGTAAAATATATGAAAATCCTCAATAGGAAAATAATAAAATCATTGTAATACACATTAGAAATCAAGAAGATCCTTGATAGAATAGATCCACCAGTGCAACCTTGTTTACGAAGTAATTCCTACCAGGATTCTAAACGTAATGCTAGCGTTGAATTTTCAGTTCCTCTAATGTGTCTGCGTTGTATGACGCTAACTTTGCAGTCGTGTGGTCGCTGTTTGAATCTGTTTGAGCCATAAAATGAGTCGTCTGTACAGATCGCTCGAGGATGCACAATCAACATGGCTTTAACTTGTCGTATCCATTTACGTGCCATACGAAGATAATCAGTTCTAGTCTTGTTAAATACGCCCCTCTGCGAATGACAGCTAAATCTGTGATTACAACTTGTTACTGGTGTAATAACAAACAGCCAAATTCCAAACATCCATGCTAATTTAGAGTCCATTTTTATAATTCGTAAAATGTATGTAGATTCTGCAATAGGAAAATAATCAAATCATTGTAATACACATAAGAAAACCGACATTTTTCAATTTTTAAAAAACTATCAAATACACAATTTTGAATATTGTTTCAAATTTGATAATTGTGCAATTACATATATACAGGCAATATATATATCAGTTTCAAAGCTTGTGGTCCTCATCGAAGATGTTTGTGGTAGCCAGATTCGGCTATATAGCTAGAACTGGCTAAAATAGCCACATACGGAGTCAATTTGTCCCACTTGAAGATAGCTTGGTCAACCTTTGTTTCCTTCGAAATTGTTTGTTTTAACCCGGCTCTTATATATAAGATGTAATCACTTTATCTTTTAACGTTCTAGTTATATCTCTGCAATTCTTTAAATAAAAAAATATAGAATTAAAGAAATATAATGAAAAGTTTCTCACTTACATCTTCTTGTCGATCTTGCAGTAAATATGGCGTTTTTCCCGCCTATACGGAGCCTCTAAGTTCTAAGATCTAAGTTCTAAAATCCATCATCTAAGTTCTAACTTCTTACTCAAAACGGCCTCAATGGGCTTCCATAGATTTTTAATTAACGACTTAATGAGTAAAATACAAGTCACTTTAAGAATCTACAGTTAGTACGGAGATGTGAATGGAAATCGGCGTGCGCGTTCGTCCATTACATTTTCGACCGGAAGTTGATGTCGGCGCACTTATTGATGAAATGAAGTAAACATCTATAGCCTCGAACGTGTCCGTGTACGACTGAGTCACGACTTAAGGTAAAAAATGGCACAGCGAGGAAAAGTGTTTCTGAATTCTAATTATTCTTAATGTTTAACAACACTTTTAACCCTCTTCAAAGGGAAATGATATTATACTCAACAGCACAACAGTCAAAATTGTATTATATTATTTAGCAACTTCATGATTTATACACCGCGAGGAAAATCAGGAGAACTTGAGCAAGTTTTATTTTCCGTCAGATTGCATAAATGCGATGGCGATGGTCTTTAAGATTTTTTCGCGCCATTTAATGTTTAAAAGTTTAAAATAGATTCAAAGACATATGTCATTTGATAATTGCTCGCGAGCTGCATCTCCACATGAAATAGCAATGAAATTGGGTCTGTTGCAGTTCATCCAGTTCATAAAAAACTCCAGACGAAAACTGTAAAATATGGATTTGATACTTGTCTTAATGTTTCTGCAAATTTTGGTATGGATTTTTTTGCTAGTTTGTCTTCTTATTTTATAATCAACAGAACTAAAATAAATAATCACTTTACCTTAAAATAATTGCAGAAGCGTCATTTTTTGACTAATTATTATTTGCCTTAAAAGTTCGGACATTTAAATTGCATGTGCATTTTTACTTTTTAACTTCAAACTTGTCTAACAATGGGTCTCAGGTGAGCGACTTATATATCAAGATGGCCATGTTGTTTATCTCAGTACAAATATACATCGAACAAATGAATAAAATCTGTTTTCTAGTGTTATACAATTCAAAACGAAATTTTGAACATTATCGCATGGTGTTGTTGAGATTTATTTACATCACCTACATATACATGTAGTTGGAGATGGTAAGGGCTTTTTAAAAGGCAATTGTCCCTTTCCATTAAATGATTACATTTGGCGAAAAAGACTTCATGTGGCGGCTATGTCTAGTTTCTCAGTGAGTTCTGTTAATTAAATTCTGACCCTGTCGTTTATCATGCAGAATAGAACACATAATCAAATAAATGGATATTTATTAATTAAGCACAGTCTTCGAATTCGTATAACATTGTGATACAATTATTAAAGTACTGTAAATTGTTACTCTATTCACATTGATAATTATTACATTTTTTTTAATTACATAGAAGTTTAAAGTTTTAACTATTTAATCTGTTTAGTATTAGTATATATTCCTGAGTTATTAACAATTTGCATTTCAATTTTCAGAGCTCAAAGATG